GCGTGGCCGGTACGGCGGGGGCTGCCGGAGAGGGTGCGTGCCCGGGGGCGCCTGCCCACCCGCGCCCGTCCCCCTGCTCCCAGGCGAGTCCGTCTCCGTGATCAAGCACACTGATCCGGTCCCCGACCCCCGGGCCGTCAACCAGGACAAGAAAAACATGCTCTTCTCTGTGAGTGTCCCCCCCGCCGCGCCCTCGGCGTCTCCTTCGATCCCCGTCCCCCCGCCGCCTGCCCCGGTGCCACCCTGTCCCTCTCTCCCTCCAGGGCACGAACATCGGGGCGGGGAAGGCCGTGGGCATCGTGGTGGCCACGGGGGTGAACACCGAGATCGGGAAGATCCGGGACGAGATGGCAGCGACGGAGCAGGACAAGACGCCACTGCAGCAGAAGCTGGATGAGTTTGGCGAGCAGCTCTCCAAGGTGATTTCTCTCATCTGCGTGGCCGTCTGGCTCATCAACATCGGCCACTTCAACGACCCCGTCCACGGCGGCTCCTGGATCCGCGGCGCCATTTACTACTTCAAGATTGCCGTTGCCCTGGCTGTTGCTGCCATCCCTGAAGGTCTGCGGGGCTCCTACTCGCTACAGGCCCCCCGCCACCCTTTCCACCCCCGGCTCGTAGCACCCTTTCCCGGCCCCCTATGGGCTCGTAGCACCTTTCCCGGCCCCATACGGGCTTGTAGCACCCTTCTCCAGCCCCATACAGGCTTGTAGCGCCTTTTCTGGCCCCATACTGGCTTGTAGCACCTTCTCCAGCCCCATATGGGCTCGTAGCACCTTCCCTGGTCCCACATGGGCCCGTAGCACCCTTCTCCAGCTCCATAGAGGCTCGTAGCACCCTTCCCTGGCCTGGTAATGCTCTTCTAAGGTCCTGTAGGGGCTTCACCATCTTTTCTTGATCCCACATGGGCTTATAACTCTGTTCTTGGGTCCTTCGTGGCCTTGTGAAACTCTTCCTTGATCCCGTAAGGGCTGGTAATGCCCTTCCTGGGTCCCATATGTGCTTGGAGCACCTTTCTTTGATGCTATGTGGGCTTGTAACACCATTCCTTCATCCCGTACGGGTTTGTAGCATCCTTCCTTAGTCCTACTTGAGCTTATAACAATCTTTCATAATTACAATAACGCCCTTTGATCGTATATGGGCTCGCAACGCCATTCCCTAGCGTTACATGCAGTTACAACACCCAGCCCTGGGTCCCGCTGGGTGGCAGGGCCCGGGGCTGAGGTTGGTCCCGGTGCCCCGCTGCAGGGC